ACTGACTGGGATTCACATATTCAAGGAAACATAAGTTCTATTTCACTTTAAGTCCAACTTGTTCTAAACGGATTTCTTTCTGATTAAATCCGTCGTCAATATATATAAGTATTTGATGTCTGATAACTCTATACACTTTAAGTATAACCACCTTAGTAATACTCATTTCTAATTTTAGTAGATGTTTGCGGTACACTTTAATGTCTAAACAAAAAATACACTTTTTCAATAAAACTTCATGAAGCCAGTGATTCGTATTACCACATAGTGTGTGTCCTTTGGGCTCAATACACTCTGGTTAAACTTAAAAGTCATGACTCTTCTAAATTATACTTCTTTTTACTACCGGAATAAATAAAACTGTATTATCACTGTGGCCTTCAGGAATTACTTACGAAAGAAAACTATTTTTTTAGAAATGTAACTATTTTCCAAAGACAGAAAAGAGTAACCAAATTCCAGCGAGTTGTATAACTGATAGAAATTTAGTTAAGCTAAGAACTTTGATTGGACACTAGTAACTAGTGTGACGTTTCTAGTCCTTTCCCTGGTGCAGACTGAATTTTATCAGTCAGATTTGCAATATGGCCACCATTCTAGGTAGCTGAACATTATGGTGCACATTGATTTGATGGTATTAGATGGCTGGAGGCAATCGACACGAAACCTAGGTTCAAGCCTTCCTGCTGATTGCCTCCAACCATCTAATAAGCTAAGAACTATTTCTAAATGTAGTGACAGTAGTCAAAATCGTTAAAATTTCCCTTTTTTCTGGCAACTTTTTACATGTAGTTAAGAATTCACTTTACATTTTGGATTAGAACTCAAGGACTTACTGTTGTCAGACAGTTTTTAATTTTATATATATATATATATATATATATCAATCGTTTATTAAGTGAATCCACAAACAGCTCGAATTTTTCAAAAACTCAAATCACCAAGGGAGCCTCAGGTATTTTCTTTTGCTTCTGGTGTGGGATTTCATAGGCTATTTCGCAGATTGGTCAGAAAGATGATCCAGGGGACAAATGAAAGCAAATTCAAAATAAAACATGCTAAAGTTTTAAAGTTTTGATTACAGCTTGATTCCACACAGTATTTTTGGTACAAGTATGGAATTTTCAGCATGGATATCGTTAGGCCAAATTTTGCAGACTGACCATAGATATCAGATGTGCGTCGGCAGAAGATTGAACTCCGGACCATGTGCATGATCGGCGAGAGTCCTAACCGCTGTGCTACCTACGCACAGCTAACCGTGAGTATAATTCCCCAGTAGAAGGTGTATCAGCGTTGCTAAAGAGACCCATACTGCCGAGTTCTACTTATATATATATATATATCGAATACATGTTTTTCTACCCTTATAATTCACAATAATAAGTAGTCAAGGTGATGAGATTTAAAAGTGAGGCGAAGAAAAACAAAATGTTTGAAATACACTTCCCAATCAAGTAAATAAACAAAAGTAGTAAAATAGGCGATAAAAGCAAGACTTTATGTTTTTTCTATTGTTGTCATTACTATAGTAACTAAAACAGTTATCTGAAAAAATCCAGCAACTTCTGTTTGAATTAACTAAATGAATTGATTATGAAAATAAACGGAAGAGTAGCAAAATGATTTTAATTGAATTAAAATTGTACAAAATACAATTTTAACCTTACATAAATAATTAGGTATGCAAGCTTATACAAACGAATTCATTGAAAAGGGATTTTAAAAAAGGGCTCAAAGTAGTAGATTTTATCTGTTTAATAAATTAATTTTATTTATAAGACTGAGTTGAGTTTTGTGCACTGAATCAATTAATCTATGTGGAGTTATCTTTCCCAACAAGCCATATATGTTTCGCAATAGTAAGAAATCAGGATCTAAAATAACCACCGGTTAAGTATTATTTTGGTATCTTTGCCTAGTGTCACCATCGAGTCTTCTATTCCTCACAAAACACAGTGTAGATCAATGAATTTTCTAACTGTTTTCCTCATTCATGCGAATTATTCGTTTGGAACTAAAAACTGTCTATTCTATGACTAACGGTTTCTAGGAATGGCATGGATGAGACCCTTATTTATCATCTTCAAGGCTATAATCTGCTGTTTTATTCCTTTTTGTTTATTTTAAAACCAATTTATTTTTATTTATCCCCTTATAACATACTTTACATTCCATTTTTATACAACTTTATTAGGGATCTATGAGACTAGATTTATCAGTGAATCATAAACCAATCTTCAGGCTGAAGTATTCTATTTTCAAGCGAAGGTTAACATGAAAAGAAACAGTAAGAAGATGAACTCCTATGACATTTATGCAATATTTATAAATACTTTAATAATATGTCACACAACTAAAAAGAGTCAGTAGAATGATTTGGTTTATTATTTAGAATTTGTTAGTCCTTGTTAATAAGGTGGCTAGCTGATTTAAACCCTTCAAATGAAGATATTTAGTTACTCAGATAAATGAAAACAGTCGAAAGCTAACCGATTTAATCCAATTATTTCCTAAGAATTCGTAAGACAGAATCATTATACATAAATTATTCATTAACTCATCTTCACTAACATGCTTGTATCAATGATGTTAGTGAATATGATGTGTACTGACATATGAATCTCTCGTAGAGTACCTAGTTTCATTCATTCGAATTCTCGTACTTAAAAATGTTTGCTGACAACAGGTAAATAGTTACTGAAAATTGGTGAGGTTTGAGACATTACTTTTACTTTGAATCTAAACCTGATCAACACTGTAAACTGTTGGTATACCCTAAAATCTTTCATGGCATCTACATATATGATTACCAATATCTTTAAGCCAATGCAACAAATTAGAAATCTACTCTAGGGGATTAAAAGTCAATAGTGACTCTTTATAAGTCATGGAACATATGAGCTCAAGTTATTTTTATAGGGAATTTATATCTTCAGAGCATATTCAGCTGGAAGAAAGTAAATCTTGCTGATTACTAAATTGCTGGGTGAACTAAGTAAAATGTCAAAAAAGTGTTCAGTAATATTCATTAGTGAGGGCGAAAGCGGATGCCCGGCGCTCTCCACCGGGTTGACTGTCCATTGGATGACAGTCTAGGGGAGATGGCTAAACCCTGATTCCAAACCTCCAACGACTGGCGTATGAAGCTCACCGGCAGACGTATGGACAAAGGGCTTGTTGGATGTCCTGGATGTCTGGCCCCATTCAAAAAGGCGTATGAACCGAACTCCGGTCACCGGCTTCCAATGGATAGTGGACTCCTTACTCCACTGCTACTGCCTTGTAGGTCACACTTGGCTGTGTAAAGGCTAGAGCTGCACTCTCAAACAAAAGGCCGAGCGATGCTGGGGACATCACTCGTACCAAATTCCCATGAAACTTCATGAACTCTCTTACAAATTGTCGCGCCTGGGCAGCGATGATTCGAGACGTTCATGAAGCCGGCTCATCCTCCCGTAGGAGATAGCCGAAGTAAATCAAATCAATCAATTAGTGAGAAGGATTTCGACCAAGGTGGGACATCTGAACAGTATCTGTTTGATATCTGGTATTTTGATTCTTTAAAAGCTAATTTCAAATTATTCTACATTTTGGTATTGTAGGGGTATTGAAGGAATTCTATGAACCATAGAAGCTTCGTTTTATTTATCTTTCTTGTTCAATTTGTTCATCTATACGATTGAAGTTCAAAGAAAGAAGATACCGTGGGAAACCGGTAATCGCGCTGTGTGGTTGGCGTTTGTTTCACAAATTTCACAGCATTCCCTTTATCTAAATAAACACAGTATTCTCCCATTATTGGTTGGGTAGTATTAAGTTTAGCCTAGAAATAAAAACTTGGGGTGTCCCAAATAAGACAAAATGCTCATCCTGGATTCCACTGCTAGTCACCATCCACCAATTAACTTCAAACTTAGGATGGGTTAGGCTAAGAAGTCTGAGAGTTGTATAAGTCTACTAGGATAATTGACCCCATAAAATTAATGAAATTTACTTCTAGCTGATGTCATAGGTAAACCACCTCACAATGTATTAAAATGATTTAAGAACTTGTTTTTATCATTATTTTAAACAAGAATAATATACATTTAGAACACAACGCTGCCTTATTTTAAGGAAGACTATGAGTTACTTTGAAGACAACTAAAGTGTGCAGCTGCACGTTCAATCAAAAATCAAACGATGTTAAAACTATTAAAGATAAATAGAATATGATCTGTCTTTGGTGAAAATCACCACCGTCAGAGTGAAAACGAAGACTGTAGTTTAAAAGATCAGTAATTACTTGCTCCATAAATCACCGTGTTCGTTTCTTTATGAACGCAATCTGAAAATGAAGTCTAGACTGACAACGTGAGTCTTGTACATTGAATGCTTAAAGGATAACAAAATTATCAAGGCAGAATTTTCCTGTTTATTTTGCTACAGTTTACAGGAGTACAGAGAAACCTAAGCATTCGGAGCGGAAACATATTAAGACGAACAATCGGAATAAAACGAGAAGGACAAATAATTAGATGGTCAAAATTACTGTTGAAATGAGAAAACGGTAATTTTATTTCATTATTATTTATTTTGCCTCGCCATTGAACTATGTATAAATTAACTTCTAATACAGTCAAGACTGTAGCCAGCTAATCAACAATTCCGTGTACAAATCAACCCAAAAAAGTGATTCAGTGCATGACAGATTACTTAATATTTACTTCTGTTTCCTTTCGCAATGTTATTTAGTTACCAGTTAATTTAAATATTTACTTTAATAGACTGTCTAAAGGCAATGAGAGTAGGTTATTCCCATCCTGTACTATATGTTTAAAACGAATACAGAACTGATCAAACCTACATACGACTGATACATTTAGAATGTGTAGAATATCAGTCATTAGACGGTAGTGACAAACAATAAAACAAGACTTGGGGGTAATAGATATGCAAACCACATAGAAAAATATCTAAAAGTAATATTTAATACATAAAAATAAAATGTAAATTACCATTTTTAAGTTCGCTATTTTCCAGTTCGCATTCTAAAGCTGTCTTAGGTGTTGAGATTAGTTTTTCTATTTCATTACATTTTTCTAAAAGCGAGACATGGACGCTGTCTGTATTCTCATCCGCTGTGAAATCGTAAATATCTGACCAATTGCAGTTAAATATACTAAGGCCAGCCGAATTAAAATGGTCTGAGTTTAGATAGAAAATAAAAATATGACTTAGAATATGTTCAGGTGATACGAATTAAAACAAAATTAATAGTTTCAGAGCTTTCTGAATACGCGTTAACAAACAGAATTTTCAACTGAATTGCCAAGTATAGGGTGTAATTTTGATCCTCTTTATCTATCCACTGAAAATCATAGCACGAACCAGTATCTATACTCCTAGTTACAATATAAGTTCAATTCCTCGCATACAAAACTCGATCCTAAAATGATAAACGGTAGAAATTAAATATATGGATAGTAGAGCAGTTTAGCAGTAATAATTTACTTTGAAAGTTACAAATGGGAGCTTCAAAGTCAACCATCTTCGTCAGACATCTACAGTAATAAATTTAACTCAGATTTCAATCACTAACATACAATATTTTGAAAACAGTCTGATCAAGCTAAATAAGTCAAAGTTTAGTAAACTACCTACACCATATTGTCGACATTTATTAGTATATCATCCACACTGGTTGTGAATTTCTGTGTCAAGTTACTGTGAATTAAGGCAGCTATTCACGATAATCCGTTACTCTAGTTCAACAGAATGTAAAAAATGTCAACATAAATTTATTACATGTCACTGTGTAAGATGGCGGACAATACTGATTAATATGGATACTGAAAACAATATAAAAGTCACTGGATGCTGTGAGATGACCAGCCATTCTGAACTCACCACTAAAATAGCTAAACGGTTCTATAACTAGCAAGCAATGGCAACCGACATGACTAGTGCTCAACTGTTCATATCCAGCAGTAGTATATTTCGTAATTGTACTTGGCGGTTGGATCGGTTGATAATAACAAGAAGATCACATGCTGTATTTGGAATGTGTTGCTTTTTTGAAGGAAACTATATCAGATCTTTACCCTCAACTGTGTAATTTTCGAGTAATAAGTTTTATTTATAGCTTATATTTACCCAAAGATCAACTATTGACCTGCTCTTGAATTTTCAAGTGATACTAACGCTATATTGATGTTTTTAAGGGATTGCTTTGCTTCTACCCATCATATTAAAGCCGATAGTTTTGCGTTACTAAGAAGATAGTGAAAGTTACCTGATTCAATGTAAAGAAGAAACATTATAAAGCAATAAACTCTTCTAGAGATTCATATTCGCTATAAGTGGTTAAATGTGAGCACGAAATAATTATCCATAGTTTCACTGATATACCGCAAACAAAAATACCATGCACAATAGAATGAACTGACTAGAATATTGGTAATTGGATTATGTGTTACGAAAGAAGGTACTGTGTTACAAAAGTGAATATAAATTCGTACCTTCCAAACCTGGGTAGCTGCATTGATACAGGCCAAAGGTGAACTTTGTGCATGACTCAATTATTGGTTCTGTTGTGCATGCTAAAAATACAAGCATTTCATGACAGTCCCTTGACCGGAATTGTTGATAGGCAGTTACAATCGTACATTGTCTACAGTCCCTAACAAAAAAGCTGAGAAGCTTGCAAAGCAAGCGCAGCCTTACCTAGTTTTTATGGGCCCTGTCACAATAGTGCAATTTATACAATCATCGACAGTTACTGTTACTGAATGATCCAGCAGATACATGTACATATATCTCTTAAGAGTTCTACCAGTAGTTTAAGTAATATTTCCTATTACCTTGCAGTTCTGTATCAAGAACTGCTGCCCATTTATTTCACCTGGAATTCTGCCGAAAACTCCACCTGACTTGTCAATGATGATGAAGTTCTTCGGGTCTAAGTTAGATTTCTCACCCCTATGGTATAAAAAAATTTAGTTTCTGGAAATCATTTCAAACAGTACCATGGAGATACATCCAGGTGTCCGTCTGACTGAGAATCGGAGACGAGCTTAGAACGATATGATCTGCAGCAAAAACATAAGATATTCATGTGGCTTTAAAAGAAGAACAAATAATCTCATAGGAGCAACCTAAACACTTGTTGCACTAAAACAAAATAGTACATTTAAAATGTTTTCCAGCACATTTTTTCGGGTCACCCTCAAAAATAAAGAGGGAGACTTAAAGAAAGGCAACAGTGAAATCCGAACTGTTTCCATTCTGCGAAACTTCATTAGAGGGATGAAGATTTGGCGTTTTTTGGCAAGCGAATTATAGTAAGAATTACATAGCTAGGTTCACATTTCAGGATTTTCGACTGAATTGCCAAGTATAAGTACTGATTCATAGCATGAATCAGCATCTATACTCCTAGTTACTATGGAAGTTCTGAAACTGTCTTTTAGAGTCATTTCACGCAGTCCTTTAATAGTGAGACTAATACTTGTTTTGGCATTTTCGAGCAAGCCTTCTATATGGTGACTGTCCTCATCCAATACATTAGACAAAACCATCACATCAACCTAATTTCCGGAATCTGTTTTAATCTTGATGATGTTACTAATAAGTCTGGTTTGAATTCATTTGTGTATTTATTTCTTGAAACGTATTGGCACACTGATTTAAAACACGACTATACAACAAACAGAAGGTAACGGCTGGAATTAATAAAGTGGAATGATAAGCAAAACGATATTTATTTCAGTGCACAGTCACATTAATGTTTGTAAGGACACTTTCTTCGTTATTCAAATGTTTCAACGAATGTGTTCACAATGTGGACGAATCCTGCACCTCATACTAATTTTGAATTACTGGAAATGCCAAAACGGTGTATGCTGACTGTGAATGATAAAATAAATCTTAGTTGTGGAAAAGATGATTAAACAAATGGTAAATCTAGCGCGTTTTTCGGTACAACAAAATGATGGTAAAGTTGGATTTGCACGAATCATGAGAAAGCAGACGGTAACATATACTGGAAAGCAGGAAATCAGTAATATATCCGACGCTGGAATTTTGATAAATATTTAGCGCAAGCGGTATTGATTTCATCTCTAACAGGAGTCTGAACATTTACCCTTAAGACTAGCAGTTGCGATCAGCAAATGTGATATTATTAACGACAAAATTCCAACAAATTTCTTAGAGTTTTGTGAGCGTACTTCAGATTGATGCCAGACTGATTATGTAGCTGTGATTAGGGGATGAACGGAGTATAATGGCTGCAGATGAATTACTTCACTCGGAATTTTACCTAGATGTAAAAAGGTTTCTGAAAATGATTCATTACAAGGACGCGTGTATCTAGGTCCATAACACAGATGATGAAAAATTACTCTTGCGACATGTTCGTATGTGCCACATAAATAGTAGTTAATCCACGGCTGTTCATTTCATGACCTTTAATACACTTTTGTGATCCTCGAGAATATGAAGCGAGTAACATAGTAGAAACTGTTCAAACGCTGATTTCATGGCGTTTGTTTCGAGGTTGTTATTAGTGAATCATAGTAAACGCACGTTTCGCAAGAGGTTATGTTCAAACAGCAGACTGAATCGCAACAATTGTAAAGCTTTCTAGGCCTTATTTGAAGTATTAAACCACCAGCAGTAAGTTAATAAATGCTGGTTAGTGAATCTCGAGAAATCCACGTTTCGAGTAACAGTGTACTTGCAGCTGATCCAATCATTCTTCTGAACGCTTCAATAATTTCTATTTCGCTCTCGTTACTTGAAGGTCCATGGTTCAATCTCCAGTAAATTAGTGGGTTTGCACTGCCAAAGAGTTTCAAAGTGTTAGTAAACAGTTGTTCAGTGCTGCGCGATTTTCAAGGATATCTCCAACTCATGTCTGTTTGTAGAGAAAATCTAAGAATTCAATTATCTGCTCCCGAAGTCTGAATCTTGGGATTACCACTAATGGACAAACTTGTTGAGCACGTGAATTCCATAAAAAATCATCTTCAGTTGATGTAAGAAGCATTTGATTTGAGGTCACTCAAAGCATTTCGACTTTCCATTGTGGCGTTTTAGGGATGTAAAGCTGACATGAGTTTTGGGGGTCCCTGGGATGAAACGAGAAGTCAGCAATACACTGCACCACCGATAAGAAGATTCCAGAAGATCTGGGTTTTGTGTGTGGACGATATATGTCACACAAACTCGAATGCTTGCTTGCGAAGAGGCGACGAAGACAGGATTGCATGTAAACGTACGGAAGACGGAGATGATGGAGATAACCAATCGACTCCAGTCACCCTAAATAGGAGAAATTCCACAGGAGTTACTTATTTCCCTTGCCCGGCTAGGAAGCTCAGCTTTAACTGCGGGTAGAATAGATGAAGATGTCAAACGCAGCCTATATCAAAAAGGCAAGATACGCCGTCATCAACCTGAAACCAGTTTAGAAAACTTCTCCATTTAAGATCAAGAAAAAGGTTCGGATTTTCAACAGAAATGTGGAGCCGGTCCTTCTATACACTATGTGTCACGGAAAAGAATTTCCAACAGGTAGCAGACCTTCATCAACAGCTGCCACCTTTGCTCGCTCCACACTGAAATTCAAGTTGCTGACCAGAAAGAATTAATGAAAAAAACTTTGTCAACAAGCTAACCAAGAACCTATTGCCCAGCAGATATGCAGGAGAAAATGGCGATGGATCAGGTGTACCCTGAGCAGTCCGTCGAATGACCTTGTTCGGCAAACTATCCCTCGAGTGGAATCCGAATGGAAAGCGACAAGTGAATCGGATCTGCGAGGATGACATGGAGGAAATCGTGTGGCTAGGAGGAGATGAGACAGTCTGGGCAACCGTGGACCCAGCTGAAGAGGATGGCAGAAAACAAAATAAAGTGTTGTGTTGCTACAGCCCTATGTTCCACTCAGAACGCAAAGGAAGAGTAATAATAGTTGTTGCATAGATGTTGATTCTGTATGCAACCTAAATAAAGGGAAGTTCATGTGTGCTAGTAAAAATCTAGATATTCCTTGTTTTAACTTTTTCTTATCAGCGAATTCGCTCACTTGGACTAGGAAACAGTATAAAATAGATTTTTTGAGGTTCGTGTTAGTATTCATGGAGAATGATTCTGCTGCAGTTACATTCGTGATAGATTGTTTGCAACCGGAAATTTCGGCTGCGTAATCAACTCACTGGAAAGCTGATTTTTTACCCTGCGCTCTCCGCCTATGCATTCGTTTCCGCATAAGGTAAGTTAATTTTACGCAGGATTGAAAGCCCACGCCTGGACCGAGAATCAGGTTATGAAGACCCACTTCTGTCAGCCCACAAAGCAGTAGTATGTTAAATTGTCTGTTCTATTCCTGAATGACAAACGGGCTACACAGTCACTTCAGCCAGTACATAAAATATCATTTGGAGAATAAACAGCAATTGGAGGCTCCGTACTAACTCTAGGAGATACCATCAGTGACATAGTGGGAAGTCCCCATAGACAACTGAGAATGTCTTCAAATGTCAGATGGCTTCCACAAGTGCATGCTGAAAATGTCAGCCTGGAATTCAAAAACTTCTTCAAAAAGTTTGGGAAGGCGTAGATGCTAGAGAAAGCTGTTGTAGGTGTGATGCTTTGGAGCGTCTGTGGCCTCTTTTCAAATGAGTGACATCATATGCATATCGAAAAATTCTACATGACTTTAGGAGTTGTGGGTTGCTATACATCTTCATCCTATCCATCACATTTGTGGAGGCATGTTTCTGTTACCTATAAAAATTTCCAAACTAAAAATTTCTTGTTCTAGTTAAGGAAATTGCAGTGGTTCAAAGGGAGATTGCAAGAGGCTTGGTAACGGACATTTTTATTGGAGAAGGTGGGAGGGTGGTGACTGCTAGTCAGCGGATATGATGGTGGGGACATATGTGAACCACCCTTATCTGTGGGACAGCACTCTATTGCTAAGGCTCCTGAGTTCGAATGGATAATGCAAAATGAAAATAAATAATAATAATAATTTATTTTCATATAAACATAAATTTACATGAAAATGCATGCCATTTTTACAGGCACGATCAAGTATGTTATAATGTCAAATCTTAAATTGTCTACAAGTTAATAATGTTTCAACAGTTAAATATTTGATACATATATATAATTACACTCATTTTCTGAACTAGGCCGTATAGTTATTGAATTGTACAGTTGTCCTCCAGGTTGAGCGGGAAAATCGACTTCGTTTCGTTTTCATCCCGTGGTTGTAGGCATTCGATAACCAACCAATATTGAGGTAAGTACAACGTTTACAAGGGATTGGAAGCTGTTTTAGAAAAGTAAAAGTGCTGAGGTGAATCATTAAATTGCAATGAAATAGGTAAGTGCAAGTATCATTAATAAATGCATTAAAAAAAAGAAAACTCCCTAGGCTGACAACGTTCATTTGCAATGTATAATGCTACACGTATATCTCGTACTATCATGATGTCCACTTTTGGTTTTAATACATTTATCCTCAGTTGTGCCAGTTGTTTTAGTTTTATACCTTTTTGTGCATTTAATGTACAACCGTACCCTTCAGAGAGTAGGAATATAATAAGTCATAAAGAGCTGTAAAATGTTAGGTTTAATGGGATATAATGAGGATCAAGTAAAGACGTTATTGGAAAATGAATGAGATAAGACATTGTGAAGTGGTATTTAAAGATCAGTCAATGGACAGCAAGTTAGTTTATAAGATGCCCCATAAATCTGTGCACATCCCACATGGTCGCGTCTCAACAATAGGCCGAGCGAATGGTATATATTTAAAGGTAGAAGCATGATCTGTCAAGGCGTTCATTATTATCTTTTTCAAGATAAAGATCTAAGCCCTCATAAAAATCAGAAATATCTCGAGCCTTCAAATTGCGTATTGCTGTTCCTGCAGAATGGGGCGATTCACCTTAGTGACCCCCACCATATCTACTGATCAGCTAGCACCACCCTCCCTCCTTTTTTGATGTTAGGCTCTGAGATTATGATTATTATGGCTACCGCAAATATATTGCTTGGTACCAGACATATTCGTACCCCATATTCCATCTCCCTAGCTTTCTTAATGAGTGCTTCCAATAGGTCTCCACGTACATCTTTACGAACATATTATATATGTGTGCATGCATCCTGATGAACAGATTACTTTATAAGAAGTTAAAACCTTAAAGAGTGAAACGAATAGGTGTTGTGAATAGTGGAGCAAGATTTAGCAGAATACTATAGTTAAGGTTCAATTTAGGTAGTATGGACTGAAGGTAAGGTCGGTTGGCAGGACTTAGTGTACTAAATTTTCATGACAGTCTTATATAGTAAACATTCGACATTGCAAAGTAACGTGTCTAGACATATTATAAAAAGATAATAACACAGAACCAACGAAATTTTGGCGTTTTTTAACAATACTGCAGTGTGTGTATACTGAAGAATGGTGGTTAGTCTACAGGGAGCCGTAGAGTAAATCAAACCATATATGATAAGAGTATAATCAATAATATAGTTCGTATATCAAATATTACACTAGGTTCAATAATTGAGTGTTATAAGGGAAACAAGCGTGGTAAAGCAAGAGAACATTTGATGCATAAATATTTCAAGTATTTTTATATCCATCTAATTTAAGAGTTGAACGTGCATGATTAATAAGTATTATTATATTAGTATATACATATGTAAAACGTTAAAAGGTGTGGATGCTATTACAATTATTTCCAGTGTTACTTTCGCCAACACAGCTTAGTGAAAATTATAGAGAATAGAAATCAGTAAATTAGTTAACGTTCGCTGCGTGAGTATTAGAGTCGAGTTATACGCATGTGACTATACTGAAGACTGGACTGGCCTTCAATTTCCGTTCTACCCACAGTTGTGGTCCTTTAGACGAGCTAGGGTGGACATGTTAAAGTGTCTTTCTAGGCTCCGTTTGAACCCATCAGGGTTTTCACAACATCTTATTTCAGGTGGTAGTTGGTTCCAAAGAGTGCAATATTTTATGGTGAAAAAGTTTGCCCTAATGGATTTTCTGTGGGTAGCCACCTTGACAAGGTAGTCGTGGTTTCGCAGCTGATATGATTTAATATTTTCTCACGTTATGGATGAGTTACTGTAGCAATGTTTCCTAATGACTTTGAAGAGTAGAAATAGATTGCACTTCACTCTCCTTAACCACAGAGGCTCTAATTTCAGACGTACACACCTGTCAACATATTCCACTTGTTGGTCGAACCCTATTATGCGTTTCGTGAGGAATCTCTGGACACTTTCGATTTTTTTTCTGTCTACAGTCCTGAGGTTACTAAATAGGAGAGCACAATATTCAAGTTTGGGACGGATACATGTCCTATATATAGCTAATCTTGCTTCTTGGGTGTAGAATTTACGCAGTACAAAGCCAGTAAGTCGTTTACAGTCAGATACAACCTTTTTGGAAAATACCCATATGGACATTAGAAAGAAGAG